AATGCTTTATTTCTCTCGATAAAGATCACGTTTGATATACTTAGGCTCATATCTATAGATTTGATAACTGAAAGTCTTACATTATTTAAAGGTAAACATTAAAAGACAAAGATTGATGAACTATCAAAGTTTATAGTTACAAAGTCACTCATTTAATTTTCACTTTAAATTTAACCTGAAAAATAATAAAAATTACTTTTTAATCACTTCCACCACAAATTCAAAGTTAATTTGTTTATATACATAGCACTTGGAACATTGCTATTTATAGATCTAGCACTCTCTTTCATCTATTTTTCAAATTCTCACTCAAATATCAAAATTCATGATAAAACCCCTGCACACACACACACACACAGATATATATATATATATATCTGTGTGTGTGTGTGTGTGCAGGGGTTTTATCATGAATTTTGATATTTGAGTGAGAATTTGAAAAATAGATGAAAGAGAGTGCTAGATCTATAAATAGCAATGTTCCAAGTGCTATGTATATAAACAAATTAACTTTGAATTTGTGGTGGAAGTGATTAAAAAGTAATTTTTATTATTTTTCAGGTTAAATTTAAAGTGAAAATTAAATGAGATATTCAAAAAAATGTTAGGAAAATGGTATTCTACATTTAAATACTATAAATATAAATTTGCTATATAATTACATGAATTTAACAAATTAAATTTAAAAAAAAGGTTGCCGTTCAAATTGAAGAAGCTCAAGGCTCAGCACAGTGAATATCTGCTATATAATTACATAAATTTAACAAATTAAATTTAAAAAAAAAAAAAGATTGCCGTTCAAATTGAAGAAGCTCAAGGCTCAGCACAGTAAATATCTAAAGATTTTAGGCAACTTTGCTAAACACTCGTGTGGATCGTTTGGCTTTGCAACATGAACTCAACTTAGATCAACCATCCCAGCAACCTCTAAGCCCCTGCTTAGGTTATAAACTCAAGCCACTGAGTTCGGCAAAGGTTCGATATAATACTAATTAATAAATAAAAGTTCAATTTTCAAAGATTTAACGACATGGGACTATTACCGTTTCAATTAAGATTTAATTAAAGCCAGAAGCATGGCTAATGTTTCTGCTTAACTCTACACTCACTCAAAAAAGCATAATCATTTATGCTTTTTCTTTTTCAAACGGTGAAGCGATTTTGCAAAACCTTCATGAAAATATGATTTAATTAATATACTCTGCAAAATTACTAACATTATCCAATAAAATCCGCTCTTGTAGACACTGTGTCTAAAAATAATTGAATGTAATAAACTTGGGGTGTTTACTTACTTACCGCCCAATTCTTAAGCACTAACATATTAATCATCCAAACTTTAATTTTTACGTACAAGTTTGGTGATTTGTGGATAAAAATTGAAGTTTAAGTGAGTGGTATATCAATACATAAGAATTGGGTGGTAGGTATGTAAATCTCCCAAATTTTTTTCAAAGGAGTATGAACTTTATGAGGATACGACACAACAACAACAATAAAGCCCTAATCCCACTACGTGGGGTCGGCCACATGAATCCTATTTTCATCTCTCCTACTCAGATCATCAGATGGTCGACGTTTAATGTGGCCAAACCATCTAAGATGACTTTCTCTAATTTTGTCCGTCACAGGAGCTACACCAACACTATCACGAATATATTCATTTCGCATTTTGTCTCTTAAGTGTAAAACCACTCATCCACCTAATCATTCTCATCTCGGCAACACTTAACTTAGTATTATGCTTCTCTTTTAAAGGCCAACATTCAACGCCATAGAGCATTGCGGGTCTCACCACCATCTTACAAAATTTTCCTTTCAATCTAAGTGGTACTTTTCTACACACAAAATGCCCGAAACATTCCCCCAACTCAAACAACCAACTTGAATTCTACTACTAACATCTCCATCCATATCACCATCGCTTCAAACAACAGACTCAATATATCTAAATTATTCACAGGTTTTAATTATTTGAATTTTATCGGGATGAAATGTAAAAAAATTTATTCCGGCAAGATGAGGCCTTGTATATAGCCCTAGAAGTGCAAAAGAGCCGAACTAGCTTGCGAGCCAGCTCGAGCTCGGATCGTTAAGGAGCCCACGAGCCGAGCTTATCGAGCCAAAAACTCGAGCTCGAGCTTGTCTAGGCTTGGCTAACGAGCTAGCTCGATTAGCCTATCACTAATCATTTCCATGCATTTTTCAGGTGAACAATCACCGCACGTAAACTTTCATATTTACACAAAATTTTGTTTGCAATATATGATTCCTCTATATCTTGAATGTATATCCATCACATGATGACAATGCACAAGGGATCTAGGACAAACCTATGATGCAAACAAAAATTCTTTACACGACATGAGAAGAGCACCAAAGAGGGGAGGACAGTCCTCTTGGGGAAGGTTATATATATATATATATATATATATATATATATTCATTTAAACACTTCCCTGTGGTAATATCTAAAAGTTATAAATTTAAGTATTATGGTCATCATACAAAATGATGGGAGTTTAACGAGGATATTAGCTAGAGTGAAGATAAGATAATTAAAATGAATAGATGCCTTAGGATGATAAGAGAGTATCATGAAGAATCAAAGGTAAACTTAACAAAAATTGTAATTGGACCAGCTATGTGTTACAAATACAGCCATTTGGCAATAAAGAAGTCAATAAAAGTCAGCTTCCCATAGTAAAGTGACAAAACAGCAAGAAGACATAATGAACACATTGTAAAATTATGAAATGATAAATAAAGAAATGATTACATAATAGGAATTATGGGAGTGAAACTTACAAATGACAATGAAAAATAACATGGTTTGAAAATGAAGATTAATAAGCAAAAAAAAAAAAACACCAATAAAACATATAGATATTACCAATGTTGAAGGATTAATAAGAAAAGTAAAAAAAAACAAAAAAAATTATAAAAATTGCAAAAATAAGTACACGAGACAGATTAACGTCTTGAATAAAACTTCAAAAATAAAATGAAGATTAAACAATAAAAAAAACTAGCCCCAAATAAATAGAAAAATATTGCTGTTGTTGATGATGATGATTTGCACTTCTGTCTATGCGCAGGATGATTGGCTGCAAGCGGAGTAACAAAAAGTAAATAGAAACGAAACATCATGGTAGATTGTGCTTTTCCTGGTACAACAGCTACGAATATCATTACATGGCAAACTATCAACTTATTTATCCTACAACAATTTGGCAAACTATCATTAAAGAATCTTAATTTCCTTTTGACATTCAAAATAAATAATGAATACATTTATGCAGACATGAATTGGTTTCAAGGGGATGTTAAGCATGATTGCTACTATGACTATGATTAGTGACAATTCAAATGAAATGAATAAATGGTTCAGAAAATAATGATGACTATTTTCCATACTGCAGGAAAGAACATCAAATATTGCATACAATATTGTGAATAGCAATTGCACGCCAGTTCCAAACCCCTCTGCTCCGGTTTATATCACCATTGGTGATGGTGGCAACATAGAAGGCCTTACCGCCAGGTCTGATCTATGAAAGCTTCTTTCTTTTTATAATTTGTTCAGCATATTTTCTCATACTGCAAAATTTAGTTAGCAACTTCACATATTATAGCAATATTATACATGCATGCATGAATAAATCAAATATTTCTATTGAAAAAAAAGTCACACATTTGAAATTTCGAAATGACTTGCATATTTTATGCTTTTTGCAAAAATTTCGGTGCTTTCTTATTAAAGAAAAATAGAAGTTACAAAGGGATCGCAGGAGTGATTACAGATGAGTAAAAGAAATTTGCAACGAAAAAATATGAAGAAATAAATACAAATGTATTTTATGGCTTATATATTTTAAGAAAAAACAAATATATTTTCAAATCTATTGTTATCATTCTAACTAAAGTAATTATGATATTTTTTATCTTAACCCCTTGAATTGAACCAATACAATTTCTTTTTTGCATCATTAAATGCTCAATTTCACAATTAGTAATTTTCTTAACTTATTTTAGCATTCAAATGAGAATTTAATTTATATTTCATCATATATAGCTCTTGTTTGAAAGATTATTTTTAATGCTTTTGCTGGAGGGAGAAGTTAACTACACATAACTTGGAGTGTTCTACCTAAACGACTTGGATAGAAAAAAGTACTAAATGGCTACAAAAAATTTCATTCATTCAACATAGATTAAGAATACCCCTATTTATGAAAATATGATTACAAGGATATGGCCAAATAATTAAATATATATATATATAGAGCACCTGTTGGCTCATTGGTTGGCAGAATGTGTAAGTCCCCTGGGGTCCCGAGTTCGAGACTCACCTCGAATAAATGCACATATCTTAAGCTGGGGTGGATTGCAAGTATATCTTGCGGTCCATCTCTTTTTTTAATATATATATATATATACAAATGCACATTTTTTACTACAACATTTCAAATCAAACAAATACATATTATAAATCTCCATTTAACTCCAGCCCCATAAGTCACTAAGCTACAACTACGAAAGTTTCAATAGCAGACCTTACTGATAAATAATGAAAAAATTACTTTTGACTTGCAGCAAGACACAGCCACAACCTAATTATTCAGCATACAGAGAAGCAAGCTTTGGTCATGGCATTTTTGACATAAAAAATAGAACACATGCCCACTTTAGCTGGCAAAAAAATAAAGATGCTTATTGGATCGAGGCAGATTCGATGTGGTTTTACAGCAGAGTCTGGAACCGGGTTTAGATTCGGCCAAGTGCACAGAGCTAAATCCAACAATGAAAGAAGATTATCTGAAAGGCTTACTTGCAATTAGTAGAAATGTTTTGCAGTTAATTTTAATCTGCCTGAATAAAGTACAATAAAAAAAGGTAAGATAATACTTGTTTGTTTACATTATTAAATGTGAGGTTTATTGATAATTTTATTGTTGTTACATTCATAAAGCAATTTATTCATACAGGCAGACTTAAGAATTCCACAATTATTTATTGCAACACATTACTCCATAATAAAAAGAGTACATAATTTCATTTCATATTTTCAAAGACAACCATTCCTCACATTTTATCATTTTTATTCAATTTTTACAGCCATGCATGACAAATAAGGACTTGAACCGTTTCGAAAAAGAATAGAGCCACTATTTAGAATTTAAGCTTGATATAAATATCTCAAATCATAAACTTTAACGAAGCTAACATGAACTTCGCTGACAAACAATAAGGGCAACTCACTAAGAACTTCGAGCAGCAACCGCCAAAGAAAGAAACCTGCATCCGAGGTTCTTAGTTATACAGATGCTGATGATTCCTCCAACGGGTGCCAAAATCTGTTGTAGAACCACATTGTATCAGCCTCGACCGCATAGCCATCTTCGTTACGATACCACGAATAATATGCGTGTGTTTTATTCTTCACATCGAATATGGCATGGCCAAAACTAGCCTCCCTGAATGCCGTCGGTTGAGGTTCTGTCATACTACAATGAGAAAAGTTAAAAACCAACCAAAAGAACTGGCTTTAAATCCTGAAATCTTTTACAGTTTCATGGTTAAGAAAATAGTAAATGGCTCTCAAAATAAATAAATTAAATAAACATACTTTTTTGCAAGTCCTTCTTGATTTCCTCCATCACCAATAGTGATGTAAACCGGAGCCGATTGGTCAGGAACAGGATTGCATTGTCCATTCACAATATTATAGGCAATGTTTGAAATTCTTTCCTGAGAATAGAGTAAGAATGTTAGCTTAACATATTTAAGGGAAACGAAAATGTTATGAGTAAATTTCTAAAAGTCTCCTGATTAATTACATGCAGTAATTTTAGTCTCAAAGTCTATAAAAGCGTCAAATTAATCTCCGGATCCTTTTAATATGGGCTAAAATAGTTTCAAAAGGGACTACTTCGGTACTATTTCAGCACCTATTAAAAGAATCTAGGGGCTAATTTAACACTTCTATAGATTCTTGGACTACAATGACCCAAAAAAAATTTTTTTCAGGAGAGCATTTTTAAGCTTTTCTCAAAATGTAATATAACAAGTTTAATTTAAAACTTCCAGAATAAATAAATAGACTGAGAAAAAAAACAAAAATTGGCACTTACGGTGCGTTCATATGCATGAACATGGCCGGCAAATACTACATCAACTTTATACTCTACAAACCATGGCTCGTAGATAACTCGCATTGTTTCTCCCTCCATGTAGTGGTAATTATAACTATTGTACCATGGAGAATGCATGAGAACGATTAACCAAGGGGTCTCAGTTCTATTTACTTTCGGTAGCTCGGCCTCGAGCCACTTGTACTGAGGAGTGTATTTCCCTATACAAATAATGATAAATATTTAATATTTATATGAAGAAATAAGGTGCTTGACAAATTCTAAACATTGAGCATCAACTAGAACTCATTGTTCCAGACAAATCTATGAACCACAATTCCTTCAAAAACCAAAATAAATTCAAAAACATCAACTGTATAAATAGAGGGAAAAAAAACTAAATTTATTCATGAAGCTCATCGTTACACCAAAAATATAATGGAACAAGAGGGGTCATATACCATACGCTGAATATGAAGCTAAGACGATAATGTATGCGGAGGCTCGCTTGATGGAGTACCAGAATGGAGTTGTGCTGCCCGAAGCTTTGTATGGAACGTGATAACGATTTTTGTAGGGCTTGAAAGGCACACTTTCGCCCTGCAAGAGATTACAGATATCTCCATCACTATCTTTAGAAACATTAAACATGATGACCAAAACTTTTACTAGGCAAATAACTATAGACGTGGTGATGGCAATTTCAACAGAGGGACTAAATATATAATCAATCCATGCACAAACAAAGTGACAGCAAAGCTTTTTGAAAGAAAACTTGTGCAAATAAATAAAGCATGGTAAGCACTTATTTTAACAAAAGAACACAATAGCATGAAAGAATGACCAAAAACACTCACAATGTCCGGTTCAAAGTCGATCTCATGATTCCCTGCAGTCCAAATCCAAGGCTGATATGCAGTACTTCTCTCAGTAAATCTTCCCCAAGTGTCCCATCTAACATTGTCATGATACAAGTAGTTATCAGCATAAGAGAGATCACCCACATACAACACAGTCTGACCCTTCAATGGGTTTGACTCATAATGAGCAAGGGTAAGATTTGAATCAAAACTCTGTCCAAGGTCACCTGCAAATAATAAATTAAAATGTTAAAATGCATGTCTGGAAAAACTAGGAAGGAAATATAGATGAGTGACTATATTAGAGCGATGACTGAAGCAACATTTATCAAATACGAGCTAGTTGAAATAGACTTGCATGATTTTATCATGTATAACACAAGGTAGAAATCACGCCATGTAAGCAAGAAAATAGAATAAGATTCTAAGTATAAATAAGAGAAAAAAAAGGATCAACATAAGGTAACGTGAATATAAATTGTTGAAAATAATTAACAAATAATAGATTTAACAATTCTTGGAGCACTCAAAAAGAATGAATAAAGAAGAGGATTGATAAAGTCAAACTCAATAGGTTAAGATAACATTAATGATAATGTTATCGTTAATGATGATGGTGATGATAAGTTGAAGGGGAATTAGAGATATGTAACAATAGTGGAAATGTTAAGGAATAAATAAGGCAAGGAAAATAAAATGTCACCTATAAGGCCAAATGTGTAAGGAACATCAGGGCCTACTTTTGGAGGTGTTGTGAACCAAAACCTCCTTAGTGTCTGTCCTACCCCAACTGCATAGTAATACTTTGTATCATACTGAAGTAAACAGCAAATATATAAAAATCAGATATTGGAATTACAAACATCAAAGCAAAGCACAAGAAAGAATGATGTGCCAAAATTGATCTAATTAATCAATTTGGCAAATGTTGAGTAAGGTTTTGTAAATTGTAATCACAAAACCTTTAAATTTCTGATAGTGCAATGATGAATGTATCCTGATGTGTAGTTGTAGTATCTGTATCTCCGCACACTGCCCTCAGCTGAAAAAGCCAAGTGGTTTTCGGATGTCCCGTAAAGAACAAGGCTTGAACCAGGCTCATCAGTAGTCACCCATGATACTATTATCGCCGACCCATCATGACCACCTTGAGTAATATGGACCTTCAAAAATCAACCAAGCTTCATAACTTAATGGACAAAGAAAATGAGACAGAATTACTCATAAACTTTGTTTTTTATATTTATACCGCCCAAATCTTTCATATCACATAAAAATACTACTATTTTGACTTTTAATTAGTAAAATACACTTTTTTCATGCATATGTAAGGTGGAATACAAGGAAAAATTAAAGTTTAGGCATTAGATATGTAAAAACATAAGAATTGAGCGATATATATGTAAATCTTCCTAATAAATAATATAACATTCATGCATGCAAGGCGCGCCCAAAAGATATTCATATCAATCATAGAGAGCAAGGAAGATAGCCACAAAAAGAAATCAATGAAATTTGATGTCTCAACACAAAAAATAATATTAATAATAATGAAAAAAGCTCCAATGCTCATAGCTAAGACAAACTAGTAGCTCAATTGAGAAATTTACTATAGTTTTTTCCAGAAAAAATTGGACATTAGGGACAGAATTACAAGAAATTCATTATTACCATTCAGTTTATATTGCAATCCGTATTCTTCAAAAGAAATAAAAAACATGTTCTCAATGTCAAAGCAAATGGTGATAAGGAATTATGTATAGGAATTTATAATTTATTTGGTCATTTGTTCATAAACATCAATAAAATTCTTCAAACAGCCAACAAGTGAGAAAAGTTATAAGAAACCAAAAGCAAACAAATAGAGCCCACGCCGCTCATGATACAACAAAACAAGTGGCAAAACCCCCAAATGCTCCAAAATAAAAAACTATGTTGTGGGTGAGTGAGAGAGAGAGACAGAGTGAGGGAAAAATGGCTAGAGAGATTGAGTGAGACTAAATCCATTCTCAAAATAGCAGTAAATTAAGCATAAACAAAACGAACAAATCAAAAACATAGCAAGCACGACATGATCGACCATAAAAAAAAATGAAAAGGGCAAAACAACCCAAAATCTCCAAAATAAAATTCTACATGGATAAAACAGCCAAAAAAAAAACAATCTTTTTCGAAACCTGGTAGAAAGAAAAAGAAGAAAAGCTGGAAAACCTGCTGCGGAGCATTATATCCCGGAGGAACACGAAAGACATCACTATCAAGCGGCATATCCACAGCTTTCTCATCCTTCCGGACGAAAGCGCTCGTCTTTCCTCCATCACAGAGTCCGACGAGTGCAGCGAACGCCACCAACAATGGCGCCGCCGCCACCACCACCGGCGAAGTACTCCGATAACGCTTCATTTGGCGCGCGGCAGCCACAAGTCCAACGAGGGTTTGGGTTCCAGAAGAGTGTTTAAATATGGAAGGGGAGGAGAATATTCAGTAAAAGGTGCCGCACATCGCTATAAGTATGGCGGGGAAGATGAGGATACCAATTTTTTTGTTGACTGGGCTACTGATTTTCCAATGAATGAGACAATTCCGCATAGGAATCCGTGGCCCATAATAGAGAAGTTAGGAAAGAAGATTAGCGCCACGTAATTCAAAATTTAGGGTTCAGTCAACTTACATATTTAGTCATAGATTTAGCATAAATCCAGCTAAAAAAAAAAAAATTTAAAATTCAATTATCCATAAATAAAAAATTTTCTCATTTTGTCTTTTCTTCCGGCATTTTATCTCATTTCTGATTTAGAAAATCAATCATGAGGTAGATTTAAGAATTTCTTCACGCTGTTGCTTGGAAGTTCATTTCGTCGCACTGACATTCAAATTTATCAGATTTGATAAATCATATTTAACGTAAATTCAGATTGCAGCCAAACATGTTTTAGTTAAGGGAAAAATATTACATCAGGGCTCCGAACGTAGAGCTATGTTCGCATTGTAATAGTTAGGAATATCCCATTGTGTTACAGAAATATCTCATATGCGTTATTTGTAAAAAATGAAGTGTTATTTGATTATTTTGAGGTGTTATTGGAATATTCTCCCGCGTTACTTGATTTGGGGCTGAAGTGTTATTGGAATATTCCCCCGCGTTACTTGGGGTTGTGTTATTTCAATAATATAGTGGAAATTGAAATAACACGGGGAATATGCCGAATCGAATAACACTGTATAATACTCAAATAACACTTTATTTTTTTACAAATAACACAGATGAAATATTTTTGTAACATGACGAAATATTTCTAACTATTACAATCCGAACGTAGCTCTACGTTCAGAGTTCTGATGTAATATTTTTCCTTTAGTTAAGGGGGCGTTTGGCTACAAGAATAAATTTAGAGTTGGATGGAACTAAAATTTGGACATTAAATTTAAAATTTCATAAATCCCCTGCTCTGTTTGGCGCAGCTGCAGCTTTCCAGCTTTTCAGCTGTAACTGCGCTGCCCCAAGAAGCTGTTGCGAGGAAGCAGCTGCGGGGCAACTAACTGTCTGTTTGGTGCAGCTGTGTGAAAACAGCTGTGGGGCAGCTATTTTTGTAGAAATGATCATATTGTCCCTGTTTGTTAAAACTGTTTAAAAGAACTGTGACAACTATATTGTTGAAACTTCAGTAGTATTGTCACCAATGCAATTATTATTGTCATATACTCATATCTTCCATCGCAAATGTACCAAAGTGAACCAATGCTCACTAGCATAATCAAAGTGCAAGAATATAAGAAAATCCAATGCAGTTAAGTAATATGCTTTATCTCTAAGCCTATTAATTAATGAACCTGTATCATTCAAGGACACCTTTATCTTAATAAAAATAGCATAAAGAACATAAGATTATATTCTTTTTTTAACATTAAAGAAGATCATTTTCAAGAAACAGAAAAACAAAATTCTATCAACTCGGGCTTGCAAATCTTTTGGATTTAGGGAGCATTACATACATGCCATCCGATTCTTACATATTAACTTATCCAACACCAAAAAGAAGTGAAATACACATTTGTCTGCTTTACTGTTAATCCAACAAAACACCCTTAACTCATCGAAAAATGGTAGGGATGTTGGGTGCTCGAAAAACAGAGAAGTAAACCGCAAGATTTTTTTTGAGAATATTAGGGCAAAATCCGATAAGGGGCTTACAGATCAAGAGCATAAAAAAAAAAGCTACTTACCACAGCTTCAAGGACGAGAAAATGGCCGACGTGAGACGTGGAGGGCGGCCTTCGGAGAAGAGGAGAGGAGAGAGTTAATGTGTCGTGCGAGGGATTTGTTTCGGACGGAACCGGTCGGAGTTGAGGAGAAAAGGGAGAGGTGAGAGATCGCGAGCATTGTTTTCACAGGGCGAAATGTTTCTCAGGTAGGGTAACGGGATAAAAAGTCGGGTGACGAAGCTGGGAAGCGGGTTACCATTCGTGGTCGGCGTTCCATCGAAATCGCGGGACGCCGCTGTTGCAACGCCGCTCCAAACGACTCAAAAAAACTGAGCTACCGCTCCGTAGGAAGGCCGCTCCGCCAAACAGGCCCTAAATAATGCTATCAAACACCACCTAAGAACTAGATCAATTTTGTCTATGATAAAATGTAATTTTTTAGGAAGATTTGCATACATACGACTCAAATTCATAAGTATTTAAGTATTTAATGTGTATACTTCATCTTTTAAGTATATGTCAGTTTACATATGTATGCAAATATATATTCTACGTTTTGAAAGTTAGAATAGTGATATTTATTACAAATTTTGGGTGGTTTAAATCAAAAAAGAAAACTTTATGTATTAGATATGTAAATATATGAGATTAGGTAGTATGTATGTAATTGTGTTAGGTAATTATCTCTTAAGTATTATCTAAATGAATTTTATTTTTTTATTATAAGATGTATAAATACATTGAAATTATATGGGGAAGACATAAATCTCCCTATTTCCAAATAGAATATGTTTTAAGAAATATTTGTACAAAAATAGATGACATAAAAACTTATAGCATATAATTTTAAATGACATAAGAAATTTTTAAAATATACAAATAGGTATAATAATTTTTTAAATGAAATAACTTTCATGAACCAATCGTATAAAATACAAAATAGCGAGGAACTTACTTATAATTATTCGTCCAAACAAATATTAGTTGATCACAATTATTTGATTATCATCATATAGTATTTATCGATCAAGAATTACATATCCTCGCTTGATCATCGTCATTTGCGGACATAATATAGTATTTATTATTTTAAAATTTAAAGTTTTATATGTATAAATAAAAAAAAATTAGGTTTAAAATATGCAAATACATAAAGATTGTGTGGTAAAGGAACCATGGCTTTCACCATTTTTTTTTGGACCAAAAGAATTTTAAGAAAATTATATTTTTTTTGAAATAATCTGCCACGTGTCAGTCATCCATCCCATCATCTCACTCTCATACCGAATTATATTATTCGAGATTTAATCCGAGCCGTGCATTGTAATAAACAAAAAAAAAATAATAATAATAAAATAAACTATATGTTTATTGTAATATTTTTTAAAAAAAGTACATAAATTTTCAATATGTATTTTTTTTTTCCTTTTTTTTATCATCTCGAATAATCGCATTGCCGTTACACATTTTTTAACATAAATTTTAATATAAAAATAGATTTTTAAAAATATATCGTACAAAAAAATTTGAGAAGGTTGACAATCGCCACTAAAAAATAGATTTATACTTAAATTTAAGAAAGTTAGATAAGCCCGTCTTTCTGAGAAAAATTTACGTACGTCGGAGAGTATTCAGATGATATTCGAGGGTTATAAATATATTACACTCTCTGTAACATCTCTATAACATATCAATAACCCTCAATACCCTCTGAATAACCTCCAATGTACATAACCCTCTGCATACATAATTTTTTCAGTCTTTATCACTGTGGAGAATTATTTTCCGCATATATCAATTTTTTATTAAAGAAATTCCGAAGCACATATAGCGTGAATATGATTATCCTGCGATGCAAGCCTAATGAATTATATTTTAAACTTTCACATTTTAGTTTAGATATATAATTTAATATAAATTTTATATGACATTAGAATTCAGTTCAAATTGACCATATTTATTCGGCTTTCCCCATCTGCTAACCCACATTGAATTTAATTTACATGAAACCAAACAAATATAATAATAATCACATTCCAAATACACCAAAAACTTCTAAATAAAATTTACATACACATCACGCAATTCCCATGTATTTACACATCTAACACCCAAACTTCAATTTTTATTCATACGTACAATCCATGCAGGAAATTTTATTATTATTTTCTAACAGCTAAAATGATGATATTTCCAATGTAATATGAAACATTTGATTGATATAAACGAAGGAAAATGATTTGAAAACTTAGATATGCAAGTACATTGGAATTAGATCGTATGAATGAAATGTCCTAAATTTCAATGCATATGGCAAATTTACATACATAGCATACTATCCTACGCTATTTGCATATATCTAACACCAAAAACTTGAATTTACATTTATAACACCTGATGTCATAAACTTGAGCATGAAAAACTGTATTTTCACTTCTAAAGAAAATAATGATGGTGATACTTCTAAGATTTGAGTGGCATCAATGTAAAAATGATTAGGTGTCAGGTAAATACATTAGAATAGCCTGTTATGCATGTAAAAGCTCTACTGTATATGTATGTATGTGTATATATATATATATATATAAATTAGTACTGGTACAGATGCATGTATTAGAGAAAGCGAATCATAAGGGTAGACAGGCATTACAACACAAAAACGAACTAAACAAAACTATTCAGATTCGAATTATGCCCAGCACCGGCAGGCACATTCATCTAAATCCTTTCATACACAGATTAATCATATTGTTCGCTAAAAGGTTCTTAAATCATTTTAAAACAGTGCTGACCCCATCTCATATTGCCTAAACTCAATACCCATAAGTAGAACCATAAGTAGAACCATATCCTCCTGCAGCATGAGCAGCAAGCCCCGCATTAGCTGCCGGAGACGAATAAAGATGGCCGTGTTGGTACGAGCCGTATCCCTGATCTGCTGCTTGACCCATAACCGTCGGCGCCGCAGCAGCAGCAGCAGCAGCAGGAGGGGCGGCGGCCCGCCATGAAATTCTGCAATATATATAAATATATTTTTTCAGCAGAAATTGTAAAAACTGTTCAGGAAAAAATTCAGATATTGCGAGTCCACCAGAAAAGATTTTCAAGTGATGTCTGTTCAAGGAAAAATATCTATTGATGGACATAATTTCATGGTGCATATACATAAATACAATCCATCTTGTGTATCTACATAACTAACACTTGAAACTTTGCTTTTTATATTTATACCACCCAAATCTTTCATAACACATCAAAAGTACGATTTTTTTTAAGGGGACCACCTAATTCCTATTTATTTACATTAATAACACCTAAACTTTAATTTTTAAATTGATAACACCCAAATCTTTCATATCACATAAAAAAATCGCTATTTTAACTTTTAAAAAGTGAAATATACCTTTTTCATGTATAAATAAGGTGGCACATGTATGTAAAACTTGAAGTTTAGGTGTTAGATAAGTATATTCATAGGAACCTAGTAATATGCATGTAAAGACTCCTTAATTTAACTGTTAAAAAGTGAAGTACACATTTTCATGCCTAGGAAAGTGGTATATCTGTAAATATTGAAAATTGCATGTTAGATATGCAAATACATAGGAATTGACTGATATGCATGTAAATCTTGTTTCATTTCCAATACACGTTTTTTCATACATATAGAAGATCCATAGAAATGCAAATGCAACTTAGCTAGTTCAAAAACAATTTTGTAAGGGTCCGGAAATCAAAGGCATTTTCTTCATATAATTTACTTCTTTTGACCTCAACAAAGATAATTATCTTCAAAAATTCACAGTAAAGCAAATGCAGTAAAAACAGGGCAATCCAAAAGGTTATCATGTGAAAGTAATAAGAATCAAACATTAAAGGATGCATGACGGTGAAGTTTTAGTTGATATTAAAATAAACTTTCACAAATGTCCCAAACATCGCTGATACGGTTAGCTGTGTGATAAAATATCATACCTGTATCAGTTGCTGAGCAGTCTGAACTTGTGTAGCACTTCCAATAATCTCAACGGTCATTTCTCCTGGTACACCCCTAGTTTCCTGTATAGTAACAGTAGCTCCACTGGCCCGTCGAATATAGCTGATATTAGTTCCGGCGGCCCCTATTACAGCATCAGCATAGGAAAGGGGAATTTGCATATGCTGGGTAACCTGAAAAAATATCAGCACCTTAGAAATACACAGTACAGAGGAAAGAAAAAAAAAATTAATGCACATACATAACACACAATTCTTATGCATTTACATATCTAACACCCAAGTTTGATATTTACACTTAAAATACCTTAGTTTCATAAACCCATGCATGGAAAGGTGTATTTAACTTTTTAAAAGGTGTTAATGTTGGTAATTTTCATGCGATTTTAAAGACTGGGAGTGGTACAGATCAGAGAATTTTTCACCTGAGCAACCATTGCTGCAGGTTGATTAGTTGCCGAATGAATGCTGATGGATGGCGCATCACGTCCGTATGTAGATATACCATGGTGAGGTTGTTTTTCCAATGGAGCGAGGTCAGGTGGATGGTAATAATTGTCGAGAGGACGAGAAGGCATGTATTGAGGATTGGCACCATAGCCCGGACCAGCATTTGAAAGGCCTTGAGGATGGCCCCAGGGTTGAGGTGGAGGCATGTTGTGCTCCATATGCAGATTCTGAATGGAGGTCTAAAATGGAATTCACAAAAAATTTAAGAGCTGATGAGCATAAACAAATCAATAAACTCTCAGATACAAGCTAAAACAATTTTTAGAAGGACGTTAATCTTAAACCGAGGAAAAAACTAACATGGATCTCAAATAATGGAAGCACGCCACGGTCGACCAAAAACTTCCTTAGATGATTCGATACCACCTCCAATGCCCTATGCACGGATATGGGTTCTCCTTGTATTTCAACAACTCTGTCATCAGGCAAAGCAACAGGAGGCAGATCCTCTGCACAAATTTAATCAATGCATTAGTGAACAAAACAGTCAAGGTAGTGATTCTTTTTCACCAAAAACATATCACTAAAAAATACCACTTTTTTAATTTTTAAACATAGGTAAAGTGGCATATATATATTGAAGTTATATATGTAAATATATAAAAATTAACTGGAATGTATATAAGTCTTTTGAAGGAAAATCAACGAGTTCAATAGTTCTCTTGATGCCGAATGTAGACATGCTTAAGAGTTTATCTCGTACGTGATGAGCTTTTAGAATTGTTTTATTTCTCCATTAAAAAGAGCTAATCATAGAGGTGAGCATTTGGTCGATTCGGATGGATTAGTCTTAAAATTAATCAAACCAATTGCAACTGAAATCCAGAATCCAGAAAACCAAACCAATCTAAATTTGATAATTTGATAAAACCGACCCAATCAAACTAAAATTCAATTTAGTTTAAACAATTCAATTATGAGCAAACTGAAATTTATTTGTTTATTGGAATATGGCCAAGAATAAACATTACAAATTCTATAATTTACCAACATAATATCAATTTGATTTCATGAATCCTCTATTTAATTCAATCAAAGATACATATAATAATTTTTTTTATTTTTTGTTTTTTAGACATGAAATTAAAATATAATAAAGAATTTTAATAAATTTTGGTTTTCGGTTTGTTCAGTTGAATCAAAATTAACACTAAATCAAAAATCAAAACCCAAATATTAAAGTTTTAAAAACCAAAAACCGAAATTCATTTTTGAAACCCAACCGAACCAACCAAACTTAATTGGTTCGGTTCGGTTTTTCGGTTTTGACCAAACAATGCACACCCCTACTTGATCGATCCATTTTCAATGAACAAACTAAATTATTAGCATGCAGTAATTTAGGACCATTGTCAAACTGATAAACGTTGAACCAGATAGCATGACATTTAGCATAGGTTGATTGTAACATTCTAAACAAATAAATTACAAGTTCATCACATTAGTTGGCCTTTCAGTCACATAAACTGGTTGAAGGTTAATAAATTGAACACTCTTTACAATGCAAACATTCAAGACAAAATAAAAAATGAGATGCGGCAGGAATGGACTAAATAAAATAATTTGAAGGAGAATAACAAACCACTTAGTAAGGTCCTTCATATCAACAACTTCAAATCAAAGAAGAATTAAAAAAATGTTACTTTCAAGTCCCGAAAAAAAAATAAATATAAAAAAAAACATAAAACTATATAGACAACAACCACAACAAGCCTTTATCCCACTAGGTGGGGTCAGCGCCATGAATCTTTTTTCTTCATTGTGTCCCAATTGAGTGTCATATTTTCATTTAATTCTAATAATTTTTTTTATACAATATGTCCAAGTCTTTCTAGGTCTACATCTCCATTTCTAAACATAAGTCGAATCTAAAGCATCCACTCTCATAACCGGATCATCAGATGGTCGATGTTTAATGTGGCCAAACAATCTAAGACGACTCTCTCTAATTTTGTCCGCCATTGGAGCTACACCAACCCTATCAAGGATATATTCATAGGATATATTCATTTTTGTCTTTAAGTGTAAAACTATATAGACACAAAGAAATAAATCTACACACATTTATCACAAGTAGAACTAGTGTTAGTTTTACTCATTAAATTCACCCAATTATTTTCATTAACATCATTAAAGCTAAAGGCATTAATGATTTATATAACATCTATGATCATTTGAAAATTGATCAGATTCATCAAAATCAGAATAAATGTTTTAATTTCATCAAAAGATAGTCATGATTTCAATGTTCAAAGTCTTTCGAATAGAATTGGAAATATGGAAATCTCTTTGATGCTGATAATCTAATCAACTTCTAATGAGTGTGATCTTCAATTACAAGTAATAATATATTGTTTATTATAGCTAGAGGCAATTTGACTGTTTGGATTTGTCAATACATGGGTAAAACTAATGGGTCGTTTGGGAGCATTTCTACATTGTTTTTTTATTACTATTTTTTATGTTATTTTCCTTGTATGTTGGCATGAAATTAATCATTATTGGTAACTTAAAATCAGTTGCATTAGTTTGGTTACGCAGTGTTACAAGGGTTGCCGATGAAGCAATGGTGACAGTCAGCTAGCCGAGTACAATGAGAGAGAACGTCAATGGCGATTAGCTATGTCACCAATGAAGAAGATGGTGGAAAGCAGGAAT